AACTCAATCGCTGGTCTTTATATTAACATATAAATTATATGTGTGTGTTTGTGTGTGCATATATACACTGTGTGCATATGTGTGTGTGTGTGTGTGTGTGTCCAGAAGTTCTACTCCCAAAATAGGCCTCATTGGCCATCAATATATTTAAGATGATGACACAGGTTTCTCCTGCTATTTGAAAGTGTCATCAATGTTCCAATATGGTATGAATTGGTAGGTCTTTCAAGGGTCCTGGGAACATTATTACCAGTAATTTATATGGGAAATTTTTTAGTGTCCCCAGATTTAAAAAATGGTCTACCAAATAGAAATGGCCTCTTTTCAGATAGCAAGGAAAATTTATAGAGGTAATATTACTTTAGAAACAAAGACATTGCCTAAACTTTTGAATCTTCAGATAATCTCAATATATTAAAGTTGCTTATTTCTTGCACACTGATTTATTTGTGAAGAGCTCTGATAATCTGAATGTCTCCAATTCCATTGGTAACTATTCTGAAAATCAACCACAAACTAGTTTAAAATTTGGAATCATTGATTGAATACACGATTAAGTCTGTGGGAAATATCATGATTCTTAACAAATCTAGAGAGAAATGTTTCAGTGAGTTCTTTGACTTTTAAAAATGGGCTTGATCACTTGCGAATGCTGCCCTTCCTTGCCCTGGTAGTTCACGTAGATGGCAGGATGAACATGGCAGTGTGTCTGCTCCCATCGGTAAAAACTTAAGTCTCTGTACTACCTGGCACCTAAGCAGATGGGATCGCTGACTCCTGTACAATGAAGCATTGAGCTTGAGCTATATATATACCCTTTCCTGTGTGTTTCACTTCGAATGGCTGTTAGGTCCTGAATATTTCTCAAATGTTACTCCATTGTTGAGATTCCAGATGTGTCTAAGTTGCTTTTATTAGGACAATGGAAAGATCCAACCTTTTTTTTTTTTTTATAAACACAATCAAGAATAGTGTGGCTTTGCCTTTGTAAGTTTACAAAGAGTTGTATTACATAACCAGGCAATTGTCTCCCAGCACATATAGAGAATTTGTTAGCACAGAATGCATCTTGGAAAATGCTGATGTAAAGCTCAGTCCAAGAGAGAAACCTTTTAAGTTGCTGAAATGCAGTGGAGAGGAAGAAGGAAATTGCTTTTTTACATGATTAACCAAAATACACTATAATTATATCAACTTGAAGCAGATTCCTTAGAAGAACTGATAACTCTGTGATCAGAATAAGTCATGGGGGTACAAAAAAATGCTACATGTACTTTCTCTGCAAAGTGTAGACATGGCATGGGTCACATGCATGTCGTAAGAGACAACTGTACTTGCCTTAGCCTGTTTAATGGGACCTCCAGCTGCTTTGACATAATAAAGAGTAGTGGGGAGGCTTTACTGAGGAATTAGTGTTTACTATGTCTGCTCATCCTTTTGCACTGCTCTGCAATGCAACACAGCTCACTTAATGTCATTTTGAAGTTGCCACTCCTGTTTGTAATTAACACAGCGTCACTCATCAGACAGTTTTCAAATGGAACACTCCTCAAGGATTTCTCAGACTGCCCTAGTTGCCTGTTCTAAATGGGTGGATAGCATTTAATCACAGCTATTTAGCCCAAAGATAGCCTTCCTTTGTCTTTCCTGTTCCCTCCAGTATCCCTCTCTCTGCAAAGTACTCTCTCTGCCAACCACAGTCTACAATAGAGATCGTCTCCAGTAAGAGTGATACCAGTGTTTATTCAGTGTCAGTAAAACTCACTGGCTCATATCTTATCCTCTGAAATAATATTCCAAAACATTATTCTTTGCATATGGTAATCGTCTATTTGTACATCTCCTTCACCTAACTATATATACTTACAAAGGGCAGGGTTATGTCTTAATTCTTTATAAAACCCTGAAGAGTGGAGTACCTAATACATACTTAGTGTTCAGGACACATTAACTGAACAAAGAATGGTTCGAAACTATTATCTGTTAGATTTTGAAAAAATAAAGTCATTGCAATTAGTGATGGAAGTTCCTAGACTTCTTGTAGTCAGAACTAATTAATTATGAAAAAACTACTCTGTGTGCATCTTCACATGAGCTGATCAAAGACCCATTTTGACACTAGCTGAGCATGCAGACATCCTAGCCAGAGCTGATGTCTCTAACCCAGGTAGCAAAAGAGCAGCTAGGTTAGCATTGGAATGTGCTTGCTTTGGAAACTCTCCTGCCTCTTTCAGAACCTTCTAGGACCACGTACCTATGAGACCAGCAAGCCAAAGTGAGTGGAAATGCTCCTCTGAGGAGCAGGGAAAGGTCAAATGCTCTATAATGGACTTGGACTTTATCTGTGACATAAATACTCTCCTTCAACCAGCTTGGGTCTCCACCCACCCAGTGCAGCTGAGTCCCTCAACAGACAGCTGTGACATCTGTCCTGAAGGAAACTCAGCAATGGCTATGGGGGGGGGGGATGGTTGAGAGGGCGGTGATTGTTTCCTCTTATTTCTCTTGAAAGGGGAACTTCCCCTAACTGACCATCTTTTTTTTCCATCTGGAGTGATCCCCCTGGCTTGCTCTTTTTACCTCTCTGAATCCCACAAGGACCAACTCAAATCCCTTCTCCTTCCTGAAGTCCTTCCTGACCCTCCACAGAAAATAGTAATTGCTCCCCTGATGAACACCTGGGCAACTTTGGGCTGGTGTTACTTGACATTTTCGGTATTCTTCCTCTGCTGTTAATTATTTCTTCTCATGTTTATTTATTTATTGTGCTTCTTGAGAGTAACTGTAATACCCTGGATTTATGTAAAACCTGTAGCATCTTATATAATATGAGAAATATTTTAAAAATACTTAGCAACCTAGAAATGAATTGACAGAGGCAAATGAATTTAATGGAAATTGTCATAGACATTGTGAGGAAAATCTACAAGCATATGATACTTTTATAAAATAGAAAACAACTTTAAATCATTTTTCTTGAACAATTGGGGTCTTGAATTTCTCAACTAGACTTAAGAAGGCATTTCATATTGAACAATGACTATAGGTTATAAATTAGCAAATACAGAGATGGAGATACTTTTTTGAAGAATCATACTTTGTAAATTGCTGTAACCTTCCAAAGTTATTTGTTATATACCTACATATAGACTTCCTATTGTACAATTTTGTACTAAAGAGTGAAATAATTTTATACTAAGTACCAATTTATCTGATTTCAGTGCAGTGAATTCAAAGATATCAAATAGTGTCCATCCACCTGAACACTCAATCATATTTTTGATTCTAAACAAATATCTGCTTACTGACTGTTATGATGCAGTGGTCTCATGCATATCCGGGGTATCCCTGGATCTAAAGCAGTTTAACTGAGCTAGCTGTATTGGTCCATGATTTTTTGATTAGCTCCCTGCAATTTAAATTTAAGAGATATAACATTTGTCCAGAAAATAACATTCTAAAAATGATCATGCTAACAAAGGTGTAAAATTGGCAAGCAAACCATCATGAAGATGAATATTTTTGATATTTTAATCTTTGACAATAATAGAGCAAAAGCTGTGGAATATTACTTCCTGGGTTAAAGAAGCAAGAAGGGAATGTGTTGAAGGTAACATCAAAAGAATTTTCTTAGAGAAAAAAGGCTGCCCAACAAGTTCACCTCATTCATTATCTCTGTCACCTTGTTTGTGCTTTAGCTTTATCTCTCATTGACACTGCCTTTCGGATCATTCCACCCTCCATTCTCCCGTTCTCATCTCCCCAATCAAGCAGTGAGTCTACTTTAGGGATTTGTATGTGCCAAGTACTCTTCTGGGAGACTCAGCTCCAGCACCTCAGAGCAGGTCTCCTGTACAATCACATTCAGTAACTCTCCAGTTTTCAGTATAATTCCTTGGGACCTAGAACTATAAAGTACATCATTATTATAAGCTGATGTGTTATGTCATAAGTCCAATAATCTGAGGAATGAAACTTAAAGTCAACAATGCAAGGGTTTTTTTGTTTGTTTGTTTTTTGTTTTTTGTTTTAAGTCCTTCTTTAAAACTCCTTAGTAAAACTGTGGAGAGGACTAAGAATGGAGAAAGCCCTTAGCCCAGAATTGAGATAAGACAGTAAAACACAAGGAGCATGCAGATGAAAGAAAGCAAAATATAGAGACCAACTGAGCTCTAGGGGAAATGAGAGTACCTGTTATAAATTCCTTTAAGAGAAAAACCCTGGGGAGAAATTCAAAATAAAAGTTAAGACTATACACTGGAAACTTCCACATTCTGAAGATGTTCTGAGGTTCATGATCATATACAAAAAGAAGAAAGAAAAATCAACCTTTCCAAAGTAGGAAACATTTTTCTTCAGCACCAACTCTATGCAAAACACCTCACTTCTGTGAAGGTGCAGTGGCCTAATCACCCATAATAACCAACTCTGTCCATGATGAAGCCGTGGTAGCAGCAGTACTACTCCAGCTCGTGTTCTAAGCATAGGCTTCTGTCTGCCAGAATGAATTCCAAAGTCAAAATCAGGATCAAAGTTAGGCCATATTAGCTGCTCTGTATTCTTAACCTTTGTATTAAATTACCATCAAGGAACACTAATTAAGATAAGAAATAGAGCTACTTATTTGTTTCATATGCATCTTCAGATTTCCGAATTATACGTTAAAACAATCTATGACATCTGTGTATGCTTTTCACGAAAGAAAAAAGCATAAATGCCCCAGGGTGCATCTGCCTGGCTAAGAAACAGATGGGGGAAAAAAAAAAAAAACACCAAACAAATCTCTTTCTACAGTTCCTGTTAAAATACAGAGAAATGTCATAATTTGAAGGCCAAAAAATAAGGTAAAGATTATATCAAACAAATAAATCAATAAAACCTATAGCAAGGCCCAGAATATTTTAGATTAATCTGTAAAAGCTGAGTTTCCTGAGACTCTGAAAATTTGAGAAAAATGATTTAACTTGGATTGTTTTGCTTTGTTTGATTCTTTTTTCTAGATTCCAGATCCAGAGACATGCAACTGATCCAAATAGTTATAAAAGCTTAGGAGACAGCTTTCGAATGATTTTCCGCACAGAAGGGTATGTATGATGTTTCCTATACAGATTCTATGTTATATAACAATTGCAATTTATTGCCGCATAACTTAAGATCTCAGTTTGAATGGCTTATTTGTCTGTCTTCATAGGGGAGAATGTTTTAAAGGGTAGCTTCCTACATTTTGTGTATTGTCCCTGATAACCCAAGTGAAACTAAATATAAATACAATAAAAACTACCATGAAAATATTAATGTTACTATAATTAATTGATGACTTGGGGTAGTTTTTAATATGTGCCATTAAAGACTTTTTGACGTCAGTTGGGGTTGTCTAAAGAGAATATTTAAGTAGCAATATAATGACCAAATGTATTTCTTGTTTTCATTGTATTTTATGATTATTATGTCAAAACAGGTCTATATCAAAATCTGACATGTCAGTTTAATCATTCTATCTTAAGTGACCAGATTAATAGAATATTTTGGTTAGTTAAGTTAAAATTGTCTTTGATGTATAAATTCAAAGACATTACCCAGCATAAGTTTCCAAAGGTTATTAGGTTTGCTTTTGAAGTTGGTTTCACAAGAGAATTGGTTGAAATAATAATTACACCAAAATAAGAATAGTAGCAATAACAACTAGCATATATTTGGCTCTACTGTGTATGAGGAATTCTTCTTATAGCTCTGTGAGGTATCTCCTGTTAGAATCCATTCCATTTGGACAGATAAAGAAATCCAGGCTCAGTATTTTTCACAAATTTTCTAGGTAATAGAGTTGGAACTCAAATTCAGATCTATTTGAGCCCATAGTGAGCAAAGAACTAACAACTACCCCTTTGACAGATTCTATACTATACTATATAGTAATATCTTACTATTACTACTTGATAATTGTTTAAGCCAAACATGTATCATGACTATTGTTCCATGCAGGAATATTCTTTTTTTTAAATATTTATTTATTTATGCATATAGAACTGGGATACAGGCCAGAGATACAGGGACAGTGAGTGGATTCACCAGAGACAAAGTGGAGAGCAGAACAGGCAGAACAGGCAGTAACAGGTCTGCCATGCCATGTGGGTCACTTCCCTGGTCAGGGATCGAACTCATGCTGAAGCGGCTATGGCTAGCTTCATAGTGCTGTACTTAACTTGTGCCACCAGGGAGGGCACCTTTTAAAAAACTCTTTATTTATGCATGTATGTGTAACGAACTGAGGGATAGGCCAGAGCTATGGGAGCAAGAGGATTTACCAGAGACAGGGTGGGAGCAGAACAGGTAGACTCACTGAAATACACTGCTGACAGGAGCAGCAGAATAGACAGGAGCGGTCTGCTGTGGAATGTGGGTCACCTCCCTGACTAGGAATTGAACTCAGGCCATTGAATTGACAGCTCTGAGACAATCCCTAGGCCACCAGGGAGGCTCAACTGCAGGTATATTCTTTTCGACAACAGCACACTAAATAATCCCATGTGCTGCAATTAATTAATTAGTTAATATTCTTATGCCATTTTTGGACTTGTGTGTTTGTGTGTGTGAATATCTATGTGTGGATTTAGAGAATTAAATGATTGGTACTTTTTATATCATAGAAGTAACCAAATTATCTTCCAAGAACTATTTACTGATTTTATAACCTTAATGTTTGAGACTTCTCATTTCTCACACTCAGACACTACCAATCATTATTTGGTATAACTGTCAGTCATATATATCTCCTGTTCATAATATAATAGGTGAAAAATAAAACTGTCTTTGTATCCTTTTGGCTGTAAATGGGATTGAGTATACTTTTATATCTTTATATATCAGTTCACTCATAAATTATTTATGCCCTTTGCCCATGTCTCTTAGGTTAAATTTATTTTCTTTCTGTGTGTTTATATACATATACCCATACACACACATATACACTAGATACAACACAGAATCACCATCCTGATTCATTGTGCTCATTTTCTGTCTCTCTTTTCCCACCCTAAAACAGTATTTCTACAGAAATGTTTTGTTTGCTCTGTATCCCTGATGCCTGGGCTTAGCACTGAGTAGAGATACTCAGTAAGTACTTACTGAATAAATGAACAAAAGTCATCACACCAACATCATAATGATACAAAATGAAGCAGAGATGGCAGTTCTTGCTATAGACCACCCCCTCTGAAGATATAATAATGAGTTGATCCCTGATTAAATATTTTCAGATCACCTCGTGACAAAGGTTAGGCAAATTCCAGCCATTACTCTGGTGATGTGGTACCCAAGTGCCTACATTGATTATATACCGGCAATTAGGAACGCTGGGATCAAAATCATGTTCATACTACCCCAAATATAAAGGTTAAAAAAAATCACGGTGTACTATGTAGTCAATACAAGCATCCCTTTCCATTAAAACAATTATGTCAGCACTGCCAATTTCTGTAAGCTGTAACAGATATCACTGAATTGGATGTGGGAGTTCTTAGCTCTTCATTCCATGTGTGTTCTAGGAAAAATTCATGTTTCTCCTTTGATATCAAGTAATTTAACAAACATACAGTTTGTGTGGTCCTTGTATAGTAAAATGGTCTTTTCCTAGACTGTATATATAATTGCTTCTAGAGCAAGCTGACATTCCTTCTGTAATGCCTTTAGATCTGGACATATTGTTAGCCCAAAACCAGAGAACCCTCTTCGCAGAGGGAAATATTTGTAAAAATGCAAAAGATTAAACACTGCCTGTTATTTTTGATGCAGAACAAGACCTTTTTGTAGCCTTGGGTTATAAAAAGGAGAAAAAAAAACTTTTTAATATATGCTGCTTTGAATTTTTTTTTTTTTTTGCCCCAGTGAAACAGTTCCTTTTGATTGTCTTGTTTAGCTCTTAGAGTGCACACTGCTTTCAAATTTCTGTTACTCAGGTGCTTAGAGGCCAGGCTGGACTTTGCCTTGCAGGGAGATAGTGTTAGTCAATTTGATGATTAGCAGAACTAGGAAAATTCATCCCTTCTGGTTTTTCCTGTTTCCTCCAAGTTAAGGGGTTTGAAAGTAAGTCATTCTTATCACTTAAACACCTTAAAGACTGCTAGTGCCCTTAGAAACTGCACATCTCTCCCATTTTCCTGCTTTAAGAAAGTGAAATGGTACGCATCAGCATCCTTAGAGATGTAGTCCCCCGCCTTTGCCCAGAATTCCAATGTTTCCCAAGGACAATAACTGAATCACAGGGGCCCCAATTTTTTTTTTTTTACTTCCTTTAAAATTCTTTTTCTTCATAAAAGCATAGATCATCACATTTTTACTAAAGACAAAGTTTCTTTACCTAGTTTTACAGAGATGAAATGACATTTTAAGAAATCCTTCCAAATTCTGAGTAAGACACATTGTCACTGTTGAGAATACTCTGTTTTCCTGGTTTTCCATCTTTCTCTTGTTCAGTAAAATAAACTCACAATTCCCCTTTCATAATTGTGAGTGCAAAAGGCATTAAAGATACAGCTCCATTGATTAGAGTTTCTCAAGCCCATAAGTTTCATTTTGTAAATTATCCAGGCAAACAATGCCTGGCATCTGTATTTACCATTTGTTCATATACCATGCCTCACTTCCTCTTGCTTCAGAGTAGCTTTTTAAGAAAGCTTTTTCAGTCTCTTTTGTACTTGTCATTCCTTTAAAGACAGCGATTGAGATGTTCGCTGATCAGTGAGCAGATTATAAATGGTGCTAATAAAAACCAGGACCATCCAAACCCTTGTTCTTCTTTCTGCCGCTGAAGGTACCTACTGGTCTCTTCCTAAAATAAGGAGAAAAAGAGTTAAGTGAAACATAAGATATTCTGGTGACATAGAAAAGAAAGCCATAAAACTAATATTTATCTTGTTCAGTGTACCAGGCAATGTATGAGGGACTTCTTCATTTATTATGCTTAGTACAACATAGGTTATGCATATATTTTATATAAAATAACTAAAGAGAAATAAGAAGTTGCATAATATGCTAAAGTTGCACAGGTACTAATGATATACCTTTTTTTTTTTTTTGCCATTATAGCATGTCACATTGCACTAAACACTAAATTCCATTAATTATTGAATGAAAAGAAGACAATATGGAAGCAGAGACTGTTTAAGCCCCCTTCTTTTATTTGTCCCTTAAGTTTTAAATAGCTATTATAAAACTTTCAGTATTCTTACCTTCAAATCACATAGCAATGTAAAGTAGATTTGTCCCTTAAGTAGGACAGCCCTGGGAAAGCAGTGTATTTCAGTCAATCAAATCTTGTCCATTCTGAAACACTTCTCTGAAAATTCAAGAGCCTTAATTCTGCCGTGAACCTTACAGACAGCCCCGTATCTCTGATAAGTTTATGCTTTTCCATTGCTCTACTTTCATCCTGCTTGTTCCTTCCTTTTCTTACAAGAAAAATTCTTGGGTATTGGTTTGCCCAAGGCAAATAACTAGGAAACAACTAGGTCAGATTAAACTTAGTTTCAAATGAGAAACATGTTGATTGCTGGTGCCTTCAGAAATATGGTATTCTTCAGAAAGTATTACTGTAGAAAATATGTGGTTGTATTTGGGGGGCATTTGAACTGTGTTTTGTTTCACGATTTGTTTTCTGTAACCACTGATGCTGCCCCGAGTATCATCTTACAATCAGACCACTTGGTGATTATAATATTTTCTAGTTAAATGACATTTAAGGCCTCGTTTTATGAGCTCCAGCATAATTGGCTAATTTGGTAAACTCCAGATGTGTGAGATAATGTGCCACTCGTTTAAGTGCCTTTCAGACAGCATAAATGGCACAGCCCCAGGAGGTATAATCACTCCCTCTTGTTTTCATTAAGAAGGGGAATGAGTGGCTGGTGACACAGACAAAGGAAGCAGGATGTCTACAACTCAAAATCAACAACAATCTGGTGAGATTTGGACATTTTCTTTTTATATAGGCAGACTCACTCCAAGGTCTTCGGTTTCATTTGGTGTCCTTATGGTTCTACTTTTTAAAAAGTGGTTTACCTAACCTAACCTAACTGGATGATTTCAAACA